GACTTTACCTGCTGCAAGGAGCTTCAAGGTAAAGCTGAAATCCTTCAAGATAACTGGAGAAAAACAGAAGTTTAAGTTCGACACTCAGAAACTGAAGGACAAAACTACAAAAGACATCTTCACTGAAGCTATCAGGACGAAGCGGGAGACATTGCGTAGCGTCACTGAAGAAACCCACGTGGAGGAACATGGAAACTCTCTGAGGGTGATGTTCAGGGAAACGTGTACAGCCGTTCCATTTCCAACAGGCAGCAGACTTTTGTCAAGAACTGCCTTCGCGAGCTGCACACTGCAGATCAAATGGCCGGTGAGAAAGAGTTAGCAGCACAAAACTCTGGTAACAAACCAACTAAGTACTTACTAGCCAAAAAATGGGCCGAAGAAGATGCGAATGGATTTGTGCACACGCTGAGGAGACCATAGAATGACATGGCGCGAAAGACTTAGCCTCGATTGGAACCCGAATCGGGAACGGCTAGTTGGGCATCCGAGGGTGATATGGAGGAGACGAGAGACTATGGGCAATCGTGGGGCTAGTTGAAAAGGACCGCAGAAAATAGGACAAGGTGTAGGCGTGCTGTTGAAGTCCCATGTTCCACTCGGAATCCAAGGGAACAATAATAATAGTAAATCAAAGTGTATGACAGATATTCATGACATATTTTATATTTCATCGCTGAAGTAGGGGAACTAAAATCAAATCATCTGAGAATAGACTGAACACAATCATAACGAATGATTTTACTGACAGCGATTTCGAAGTGTCTTAGTAACATGGGAGATTAGATGGATCAATTTAGACTTTAATTTATCACAAAAAAATATGCATAAAAACAGGTAAGTGTTGAGCTCTTACAAATAAAGCCCTAAAACAAGTGAGAGAAATTTGCTTCTTCCTTTCTTGTAGTTCTGTAGTAAAGAAGTGCAGTCCACAGTTACAGATAATACATTTTATCTAGACCATATAATATCATAAACTCCTCTAAAATGAGACAGTATAGTCAAAAGACTACCTATGCTATGTAGTTGAAATCTGAACGATTTAGAATCCACAAAAACTGTCTTTTCTCACTCATTTTCTAAGCTCACATTTTGCGTAGTCACCTGTCTTTTTAATGCGTAAATGAGGTTTATTTCCTTCAGTTTTGTCTTTTTTTGGTAGAAACCTTCCACGTGATGTGATTAAGTCCAAAAACAGATCCCTTTTACTGACTTTAGCGCTTTTATTTAGGTAAGTTTTAATCTCAGATAATGATATCTAATTACTTGCGTGATTGATTCACTTTGGTATATATATATATATTTCTGGATTTCAGTTCACAAATTTTACAAAATCTAATGATCCACACTATCAAATGTATTTCATTGATTTTTTTCCAACTTAAAACTTTTTTATTGTCATGATTGATAGTAACCTGAGAATTTTAACCTGGTAAACTATTCATACAACCCTCACTACTAAATCAATGAAATCCCAATGCAATTCAACGTATTTTTGAAAAAAGACAAACTTGCCTACTGCATTGCTTTCATCTGTTCTTAACTCCTCATTTTTGTTGGCTAATGTATATTATTACAACAAGGAGAAATACTGAACATGCAGTATTTTACATTGGTTTTAAGATATACATGTACTGGGAACGCCTGCTTTATAGACAATGTTGAAATCTTAAAACTTTACACACATAAACCTATATGATATTACTGAGATATGCAAAATATATAGGTAAAGTTACACGTTCTGTATTCTCACATAAGTTTAAAAAAGGTACTGGATATATATAATTGAAGCTATGAATTTTCAGTAGCCTTTGTCTTATTTTTACCGGGTTGGGTTGCTAGCCTCACGTCCAACCTTCCGGCTGAGGTTTAGGAGTGCACCGACCGTGGGTCGAACCCCGGACCACGTGCGTGGTTGACGAACATTTTACTGCCAAACCACCGATGTATATATATATATATATATCTTTCGTTGGGTTCTCATCAGCTGCTTACAGCCCAAATGAATTATGAGGTTTACGTACATGCTGTTTGGTGCAGTCGAAAGTCGATAGATACCCTTCTCATGTTAACTCCAACTGTGTATACAAATTTACGTGTATCTGCGGGAGCAATTACATTGGGCGAACAGAAAGAAGGGCACACCTCCGACTTTCTGAACATGTGCCGAAAAGCCTACGTCTCAAAGGAACAAACTCATAGTATAGTGCTATTACCAGACATCTCCTCGACACGGGTTGTGAGGAAATCCTTTAAAATTATCAATAGGCAAAGGAGCTCCATTCTCCTTAAGTTTGCCGAGCAATTTCCACCAAACGCTTGAAACCACATTTATGTGTTCAGAAAAAAGCAGTTATTAGTCTTTCCTTGCCCATCCTGGTAACTAGATGTCTTTATTCTCTCATCTGATTACGTAATCCTCGTCTTTAACCTCACCCCCTTTTATAATCTGTAATTTTGCTTGTCTCTTGTTTCCATGATGTGAGTTGAACTCAGTACACTGTTACCTAATTTATTAGTCACTCTGCATCTAACGCAAACCTCATCTATATTGCGTAACTCCTTTACCATTATATGCAAACATTTATTTTGTTTAAACTTGAACTGCCTGTTAAACTGCGTTAAAGCACGTTAGATCAAATTTTCACCTCGAAACAGTATTGCTCTGATATTTCAATTGCAAAATTTCCAGCATCACTTCAAAATCAGACTGTATAATTCATGACAGGAGAACAACAAAATCAAAACAGGTGATGTGTTGCCTTGAATAAATCGTACAACGTTTGATAGGAATTCCTACCTATATTTTCGTGGAGTTCAATAGGTTTTCCTCGTTTCTTCAGGACTTAGGATCCTGTCTACGATTGATTTCAAACTAGGATCTTCCGGTATCTCCCCGTAGTGGTGGTGGACACGTTCTATCCAAAATTGATGCGTCCCCGTTCAGCACTACTAAACAGTTGCTGTTTGCCTTTTACTTAATTTATGAGAACTGCGCTCACTGTCAGACGAATGTATACAGTAAATACGGCTTTTCCCGATCGATTCAACGAAAAAGGCAACATTTAGTTAATTGCATCAAACACAGTTATTCTAGTCACTGTGTTGCCATTGTGAAAAAATGCAGCCAAGTGAACAAACATTTTCAAAGTAAATATAGTAATAGCAACTGGTATGCCTACCGAGTAAGAACAAGACAACTATTCACATACCAAATAGATAAAACAAAAGCACATACACAGGGAAAGTATGAAAATGATCAGCATTTTTATTTTTCATGAAATTAAAACCAAAAAAAAAACAAGATAAACAATGAACAAATAGAGATGATGAATTTCAATTGCACAACAAAATTGAAATATTTTGAAAGCACACACCTAAACCCCAAAGTAGAGATTTAAATCTCAGCCAGTGATTTTGTATAGCACATGATAAAAGTAACTGTCCGCAAACATCACATCCTGCAAACTGACATAAAACCTGAGTCAAACCCAGTTGAAAAGAAAGAAAAAAACACCTTTCCATTGCTCGATTTGTATGTATAATAATAATAATAATGACTATTTGATGGTAGCGACTTAATAAAAACTAAGGCGGCAGGGTAAAACAGCCATAGATGATAACACATTTTCTTATTGTGAAACAACTTTTAGATTTTTATGATATTGAATTTTATACTATAGAATAAGGAAGATAATAATAGGAATAATTTTTGTTTGTATGCAGGGTACAAAAAATATTAGTGACAAAGAAATCTTATGTGGTACACAAATTCACTCCATTAATAATTGTTATCCCAATATTAAAAACTGACATGAACACCTATAGAACAGTGCAAAACAGAACAGAAAATATAACCAAAATCACCTTAAGAGAAAGAAAGTGAAGTTTCGAAAGCATCCCCACACACACACACACACGCATATTGTAATAGACAAAATTACATAATCTCATGTGTAGGATGTATTGTGCGCAAAATACCCAAACTTGGATATAAATATAATCACAAAAAAGACCATTTCAATCGTGCAACACAGAACACACAACTAAGAGAGAGAAAGGGGGGAAGAGCAGAAGGGATAGAAAGATGATGACAGAAGAAGCATTAATAGTCGCGTTTTATAGGAAGAATTAAGCGTCTCATATAATGCTTTACAACTCACAGATAAGTAGACAGGTGGTGGCGGCGGCGGCGTAGGTGAGTGGGTGGACGGATGGATATATTAGACAATCGAATTATTAATTTTCACTAACACAATTTGACAAATAGTTACCCTTATTTTTTCACAATAAAAATACATAATCAAATGAATACTTTATAAAGTAAGCAGAAATAAAGATGACAAACAAATAAATGATGATAAGCAATAATAAATAAGCAAATAAAATTATTAAATTACTCTGTTGAATGAAATAATTAAACAAGATATCTTGCATAAAAGAATATTTGCATGATGATTTAAAAGCGTGAATACACAATCGTAATTTCATATTACATTCACTCATACAAATAAATGTCTTGATCATACATCCAATTGTTAATCTGATAATAATAATTATAACAATCATCAACCTATGTGTATTCATCACTATGCAACAGAAACAATGGAACCAAAAACGCAATTGTACATGCGCATACATACATACACAAACACACAGAGAAATACGCTTATATGTGAATACTACACAAGTAACAACGCGATGTACATATGTAAAACAAACGATTTAGAAAATTGTCAATAAGAAAGAAAAACTCAGTAGGAAAAGAAAATGAGGTGATGCAAAATACAAAAGTAAAACTGAAATGTGTGTGTGTGTGTGTATAACGAAATCATAACCAACCCCTTAAATAGAAATGATCTCTGTGTGCCACGAAAGTAGGCACGCATGTTTATTTTATTTGATGCATATACGATTATTATTATTATTTTTATTAAAGAAATTATCTTATCCCGTAGACTATTTTGTGATGAATAGGCCGGTTATATACTTAGTATTAATTAATCCACAGGTATATTGAAGACCTTTAACAATTTCGCTCGTTTCCGTACGAATAAAAGCATACTGAAAATACAGACAGAAAAATACGGAAAAATGGTAGTGTGTTTTTTATCAGAACAAAACAACTATAAGTAACGACATTAATCTATATACACATATATAAGCAAAATTCCATTATGGATAAGATTTTGTTTTGATAAACCATACAGTGTTATACGGTGATATAAAGTGATGACCACGTTTCGAGCACAAACTATTGCTATTCATAATCATATCAAGTCACTCACTCACACGACTTTTTTCTTTCATTTATGTACATGTGTGGAATCGATTAGATATTGCACTTCACGCAATAACACATAACCACACAATAGGGTGTGGGAGGGTCAAAATTCTAAGACGTTATCTAGGTAGGTGGAGAGAGAGAGGTTGATTACTGAATCCTTGTTCATCGACTCTACACCCAACACATGCAACAGAAATGATTCAATGCAAATATCAGAAATATGGAAGATATTATTACGGCTGGTCGAAGCAGAGGAGGATAATAAATAATCTCAAAATTCTATTTCAATTCACGTACATCACAACATTCTAACAAGTTACTTATTTTGGCTATAAAAACACTCGTCTTATTATTTCTGAATGTACATTATCTCATATTGAATTTTATTCCAATATCTAATCGATTTCACACATGTATATAAATGAAGGAAAAAGTTGTGTGTGATTGACTTGATACGATGAGTGGCAATAATTTGTGCTCGAAACGTGGTCATCAGTTAATATTACTGTACAACACTGTGTGATTTATCAAAATAAAATCTTATCCATAATGGAGTTATTCTCAACCACAGTGCCCAAGTCTCATACTTATATCAATATAAGCAAAATTGTGAAGCAGCAGACTACCTTTACAACGCGACGCAGCAGAAGATGTCAAACTTTGCAACTCCTTGTAAAACAATAAACTGTTAAAGAGTGCCCAAAAAAGCGACAAAACTAACAAGTTTTCAGGATGTATGATAAATGTAATAAGTACGGATGCGCTAAAGTTGGTTTAAGTTTGCACAGCATGTTCATTTGAAACTGCAGAGTAACTGTTAGTTGTAATACAGGAGAGAGAGAGAGAGATCTAACGAAACACAGGACGATTTATTGTTTGTATTCCTCTAAACTTGCAAATTTATACCGAATCACTTTTGTAAGTGTTTGTATAGAAAAAGATATTAGCATTTTCATTAAATATGATTTATAAGTTGGTTGAAAGGTGTAAGCTGAAGTCTTTATATTTTATTGTTGATTATTATATAAGATTTCTCTAAGTGGTGAAGACAACAAGGCTAAATTGTAACTATACTATATAAAATAGTGTGCATTAACTCAAACGGCACACAAACAGTAAACAAATCATTAACTTTGGAGTTCATGATGACTGTACAGTAGTATTTGAGCTATAAGCTCTGTAAAACACTGATGAACAATAAGTTGATGCATTAACATATAATCGAATAGTAATAACAATCCAGGTAGTATTTAAGGTCATAAACCAGGATTATGTATCATTTAAATAACAGAAAAACATACGATATTAACAAGTGCGTGGTCTAGTTTAGTTCAAGACCAGTAGACTGAAAGTACCTAATTTAAGATATAAAATGGTACTAAGGGACATTTCGATACACTGAAAGTACGCCACTTAGCATGACTTTTAAAGTTGTCGTCACAAATGAAACAAATATCACTGATTACCTTTAGGACACATATAAACACAGAACACTATAAGCACCACTACAACCCAAACTATATTAAACACAATTCTATGATTCTGTGAACATGGCAACGTTGCTCATTACGATACAGGAATAAGTACTGACGGTAATCGTAAAATGATGCTGAGCATGCCTTATATCGGTCAGTGAACAGACCATTCACACATTTTTAAATACGGCGACCGGCATTTCGGAACATAGTGAAAACCGCATATTTAAGGGGCATTACAGAAATTGAAAAAATACTTGAAATACAAAATATGACTGACTGCGCTGTGCATTCTGCAGCAAAACAAAGTGTGGGTTAAGGCGTACGTCGGAGTTGTGTACAGTAACGTTAGTTATTCACAAAAATAAATGAGTTTGACCACAGATTGATATCAGCTAGGGAGTACTGGACAGCTATTTCATTCTAGCTTGGGAATCATCAGCAGTACAAAAAATTTAATCCTTACAAACCAACTCTTGAAAATAAATCTGATGCTCGCTAGTAACATACTACAGGACGGAGTTTCCTGGAGTTCTAGGGAGAAGTCGTGACCAGTGAGGTCCAACCAGCCTAGTATGATGATGGATTTCCCACCGATGACATTGGTTGGTGGTTGCGCTAAATCACAAATTAGTCGAAGTTAGAATTCATGGGCCATTGAGTCGGTTCCCAGTTGCTGAATGGTATATGAGCTTGCCTTGCAACCGGAAGGCCCTGGGTTCGAACCATGGCTGCGGGTGCGTACTGCCAATGATTCCCAAACTAGGATGAAACAGCTGTCCAGTATTCTCTGGTTTTCAAAGGTTTCCTAACTGGTATCAATCCGTGGTCAAACTCGTGAAAACAAATCTAATCCTTACAAGCCAACTCTTGAAAATATAAATGAAGCAAGAAGTTGTGTGGGTGACTTGATATGATTATGAGTGGCAATAAATTGTGCTTGAAACATCATCACAGTTAATATTACTGTACAACACTGTGTGATTTATCAAAATACAATCTTATCCATAATGGAGGTAGTTATTCACGATTAGGGTTTATATGACTACCGGAACGTACAGCTAGAGATTCCAGATAACATAACTTGGAATTGGGCTCGCTGGTATAAATTTGTTCACACATTACCTTTGTGTTTATTGTTGTATAACATTTCATTTGCTTTATTTATTCAATACAAAAATTATAAACATGATCTAAGAAGAGAACTGAGAAAATGATTCGATTTTGATAGGCGAGAAAATAGTTTAGTTGTGAGACCTTGTTATATCAATGATACACGAACTTCGCATCGTTAAGTGGGAAATACAAGTAAAATACACTTTGGAGTACTTACGTAATTGCTCCCAGTAGGAATGTAGTTGCATGGCTTAATATATTTGGGATACGATCAAGAAGCCAACCAATAAAACGTGCTTTCATAAAACCAGAGTTACGAAGATACCATGAACCCTTTTTGGGAGATGTACGATTGAGAGACCCGGAAGGACTTGTTTTAGAACTCTGTGTTTGGCATATCAGAGTGGAATACCTTGAATTTTTGAATAAACAATAGTCAGTATTAGTCAACCAACGATCAAAACTGGCGAAATAGTCGTTAGTGCAATGATACGTTCACCTTCGAGGTGAGATATAATGTACTACATGGCAGTTCAAAGCCAAATATTTGCATAATTAATTAGAACTACTGGATCTTCAACAGAAATTGAGTTGCTTACAAAACTAAGTTAAAAATCTGCGCAATCAGCTTAACGGATGTTTGTACATAGTACTGGTTTTGAATAAAACACAACATACTATTTAAGAATATGCACTGCACTAGAAAGCACTATGACAACGAATGAACAACTGAAGATTAGGACATCATCAGAACAATATGACAATACGATAACAAAATCACTGATCTATCATTCTAATTAGAAATGGAAAGTTAACACTATTGGATAAGATTACTTACGCTCCGACTTCTGGTCGACTGGCCCACTCTCCAGAACTTGTAACTGGGAAATCATTCGGGTAACTGGTTGTTGGAACTTTGGGTGCATTTGTAATTTGCTGAGGAGAGCGAATTTGTTCAGATATTTCCCCAGTGTTCAAACCATCATATGATAACGGTGGACTAGGTGGAGAAGCATCACTAGTCCTGCCTGAATGTTCTTGAGCCTCTGTAAGGAAACGAGTTAGTAACCGCTCTTCGACTATTGTATGTAGACCACTAGGTTCTGAAAACCCTGGTGTTTGAGCCTTATCACCGAAAGCCTGGAAGTCTCCGTTCGGACTGTAACCCAAACTATGTGGAGTGACTTCAATCCAGGAATCTAAGAGATAAAAGGAGAATAAAGCATCTGAAGGTTAGTGAAATGCTTTAAAACACTGGACAGCCAAGACAAAAGTGCTTCTTATCAAAATCCAATTACAGTTTAGGCAGAAGGTAAAGATGAGGGAGGAAGTTTGATGCATCTACATTTCTTGGATCGTAGTCAAGAAATTGCATAAATCTTAATACTCCTAGCTTGAAAAGATAAAAAGTACTTTGTCTCCGAAAAGCCCATTCGTGTCAAAAAAATAAGCATGATAAGAGAAACTTAATTCTCGTCTAAGGTTACTTACACAATATTTTAACGACAATCTAAACTTTATCGTTTTACTATTCGAGTGTAAATAAATCAAGAAAAACCAAAACCATCAACGAACTACATATTCATTACTTTAATTATTGAGCAATAACACTATGTGGTAACTTTAATCCCATGGAAAATTCCCATGGTAACATATAGAAAATCAAAACAAGTGATTCAGCGAAGAGACTTCTTTCAACGAATTTATCATCAAGCTGTACAATCGTATATATATGATTTTTAAGAAGTTATATCCGGTGAGGGAATTGAGTCAAGTGTGAATGCAGAAAATAATAATAGTACGAAATGCGATTAAAACTAAAATGTTTGTGATTATAATCACCGTTAAATGTTAATTGGCAAAACAATTAATGTCGTATACAGAATCATTCATAGGGTGGATAGAAGTTGAAAAAGGGTGTGCAATTATAGGATTAGTAGACAAATCGAATAAAATAAAAACGTTACGTACACAATATTTTGTGTGAAATTCGATGGCATAGAATTTAACGTAGTAAAAAAATTGATTGTATCCATCCTATGAATTATTCTATATATGACATTAATTGTTTTACCAATTGACATTTAACTATGATTATAATCACAAACATTTTAGTTTTAATCGTATTTCATACTATTATTATTTTCTGCAGCCACACCTTTGATTCAATTCCTTCACCGGATATAACTTATTAAAAACCATATATATATATATATATATATATATATATATATATATATATATATATATATATATATATATATATACGATTGTACAGCTTGATGGTAACTTTAGTCATCAGTGCACCGTTACTTCAGTCCGACTTGTGGTTTAGGAATGCATGAGTCAAGTAATATTAAAACCCGTTCTATATTTTGAGCTGTCACGCTGAGATTAGCTGTCACTTAGCACAGCTTATGAAACCAATTGTAACTGGATTGACACCTAACATGACTTTACAAAACATGTATGAACAAAAGGAACACCTGAGTGACTTATCACCATAAAACTGCACAAACTCAGATTGTCACACATTAGAAAAGGTCACATAACAATGGGATGACGCAATTAAACCACAATGCACGAAAAAGTATGAGAGAAAGAGCAGGCAAATGCAAATTACCAAGAAGTTTTAGAATCTAGATGATACCGAAGTGAATACGTCTGCGCAAATGCGAACTATTTTAAACCATGTTGTCAGCATTTCACGACCAATTATTCTTAGAATTCTGAAGATTTTATTTACACAATCTACACCTAACGTGCTTAAAACCAACAAATAAAGGTCATTCCATGTTTTTGTCTGACAAACCTTAACTCTCCCAATCTAGTTTTGTAGTAATAAACATTGTTCGTCCAGAAGAATGATGGCCCAAAACGCAGAACACATGCCGTAGTCATCTGGACTGATGAAGCTTCAAATCTGTTGACTTACCTTCTTTACCTAACACTAGTCCGTACCTCATAACTACTACGTTGTTTCACACTTATATGAGTGACTAAACAGAGACAGTTATGGTAGCAACCGTTAATTTTTTCACGCCGTCAACATTTACCTCGGCGTTAAAGATGACGTAGCCAAAAAAAAGTCAAGCTGGTTTTTGTATTCGTGCTTGTGCAACTTCCCACATGAGTGGAGCTCCCAACACACTCAACTGTTTCACTACTTGTTCACAAATTAGAGGTTGAAATCATCTTACATGGACAAATCCCATGCCAAAAGTTAAAATTTGCTAAATTCTTAGAAGATTCAATTGTCTGTACTTTGCTTTATTAACTAGTCAGTTCTTGAGACATCGAAGTCCATCAGCATTTCTATTGTGAAATTAAATAAGAACAATGATGAATGCAGAATAAAACTCTCCAAAAATCCTTGCATAAGTGGTATAGACCGCCATGATTAGTATGCACATAGCCCTTCAACAGACAAGATGCCGATTTCATGGATAACGCTGGAGGCTGTTAAGTAAATCTTTGTTCTCGAACGTGTCAAGTGGAGCTGGAGTTCAGTGGTTTAGGCGCCTGAATTAAAGCCATGGTGTTATAGGTTACATTTTCGCTCGAGCTACCAAGGTGTGAGTAGCTAAGGAGCATTATCAGTCAACAAAATAGACATCTCATGGCCAAGTGAAGGAATAAGTCTGAGTTTCAACATAGAACTAAGCGCAGATGTGTAGTTCAAAATTCCACAATGCATGTAGCATACATAAGCAGACAGCACAAAGGAGATTCAAAAGAACTGCAATGAGCAGAAATGTGAAGGAGAAAGAATAGTAAAGTGGGAAACATGTCGGTTGAGTGGACATGGAGATCACGAGGAAGAGTGCATCTACGGCCTTGGGAGGATTTCAAGCAATATCACCAATAGTCTCCAGTCACTAGTTCTTAAGATTCCGAAAACCTTACCCGGGCAGCCTGCGCCTCCCTAGGTGGATTAATCCCACTGCTTAAGACTTCGTGGATTGAAGCTAGCTTTTAGTTTGACCACCCCGGACTCTTCTCTAACTTAATCCTGTCGTCTTACATCTCCCATCAGTGAAGACGATGACTCGGTGCGCATAACACGTATCCCAGTCACCTAAATCGATGCAGCTTCGCAACCTCGTCGATTGTCTTAACCTTCTTAACTAATACTACGTCTAACCTCATGTTACTCACCTTATTATACCACTTAAAAGAACCTAAACATCTGTGGTGAAACACGGTTAACCTTTCCATACCTCCCACTTTCAATGACCATGTTTCACAACAATAAAGAAAGCGAGTCGATATGTCACAGATAATGTGGTTTGGAAAACGCCAGACGAGACTTGTATTTGTACTGAGACTTTAACACTCCATTAGGGGTGGTGCAAATTCCCGAGTAGGTGAAGCGGTCGACACTGTCTACTACTCCACTTAATATATTGAAACTAGGAGTCGCTTGGGACGTCATGCAGCAGAACCTTACATTTGATAGGAACACATGGCCTGCGAAACAGAAATTTCAGTTCTAGGTGTCCAGAGGATTCTGCATCCAAAAGAACAATATCAACCGCATACTCCAAGTCAGAATGTAATTTGGTAACAAGTCAACCCCTATATAGCTAGTCAATTAAGGTCAATTCCATTAGTACGTCCATGATGAAATTAAACGAAAATGAGGACAGTGGGCAACCAAGACGGACAAGGATAGGTACGTGGTTGTTGAGCAGAAACCAGCGTCAGAATGTGTCAGACTGGAGATATAATCAATGTACTCTTACCTAGACTGTAAACCTCCCTAGTTTACTTGAGTTTCTTTTTGGCTGGCCCTACTTTTCATCTACAGGTTTGAGACCCAAAATTATAGGGGAAAAGTTCAACAATAGCATCCCAGGAGTGCGAACGCACGGGTGAACTTCAGCAGACCAATCATAAAAATGAGGAATGTTTGCTCGAAAATGATGTATATTTACAAGAAAATGCTTGAAAACGCATTAAACAGGTTACCTTCCTCTGACGTAGCTTAAAAATACGTCCTACTTATAACAAGGAGTTTCAGAAGTTAGACTAGTTTCTGTACATGTATTCACTCAGATGACTACAGATACACTGTTTTCGTAAATCGTTTATCTCTATCATCCTGTTTGCAGTCTTCCACAAAAGCTCTTGGTTGAATTATTACGGTTTCCAGCAAAAGGACAGACTACTTACTACTATTTACATTAAATTGGATCAAGTTTTAATCTAAAGGTTACATACATTAAGAACCGAGTGAAAAACAGACATGAAAATAGTATTTGCGGCGATCATAGAAATAGTAAAATAAACGTATGCGATAAAACACCCCACATGCATAGTTTTAAAAAGTACGATCCCCAAACCACAAAGTGTTACCATGACAATTATTATTTTTTATTACAGCTTGATTCCACACCGTATTTTTGGTACAATTATGGAATTTTCCAGCATGTGATATCGGTAGCCCAAATTTTGCAGGCCGACCATTGATATCAGGTGTCCGTCAGCAGGGGATCGAACCCCGGACTATGTGCACTGTCGGCGAGAGTCCTAGCCACTGTGCAACCGACGCACACAGACACTAAAGATTAATGTAAGGTACACACACTATTAACAATGAGAATCAGAGAGACTAATAGTTTCATCTTGGAGAGTGTTCATAATTCAGACTTGGTTAAGACAAGTCTGAATTAAAGCTGTCAACCCCCACTCAGAAATATTTTTTATATTTTTAATTATTATCATTTCTTTGGAAAATTTCGGATTACATCGGAAAGCTTAAAGTTGTTTGACTCAACGACGACGACGAGTCCATGCTTCAAAAAGGAGGCACATATTCTGGAAAGAGTACAGAGAGTAGGAACAATATTAGTTAGTGGTATCTCACATCTTCCTTATGATAAGAGGATGGAGCATTTAAATCTCTTCCCGTTATCATACCGAAGGAAGAGAGGCGACTTAATTTTAGCATACCGTATACTTAAGGGTGATTTAGGAACTGACCTTTCTAACCTTTTCTCCCCTTCTAGGATACATTTACGGGGTCACCGCAAAAAGGTGCTCAAACCAAGGACGATTAAAATACGTGCAGAATTTAGATTCTCTCACAGAGTGGTCAACGACTGGAACTCCTTACCTGATTCAGTAGTATCAGCTCCATCATTGAACGCTTTCAAAGAGAAGTTAGATCTCTGCAGAGATATACTTTGCAAGGATTAACACAGGCCACAAGAGCCTTCTATCCTTATCATCTGAATCTGAATCAACATCACAGAGGCTTTTAAGTATGTCAAGCTGGTCACTGTGACACAGAAATCCCAATTTTCTCTATAAAACCGATAAAATACTGCTGATATTTTTAAACGCTACTGTTGTTGGATGAATACGGCTTCACACATGGAAAACGTCTTCGTAGACTCGGAAGCAAGGACTGATTATCGAGTTCCAAATCTTGCAGACTACAAAAACCCGATAATTACCCCCCTCCTATGAGAACTCATAGCAGACAAACTTCGTCTTTCACAAAGTTTTAACCAGATGGGGTATTACGTAGTTCGAAAAGGAGTAAGATCGAGATATTCAAAACACCCTTATAAAAACGCCAACAAAAGACAACAGAAACATAATCCTATTCTCCTACCGCTTACCAGGAATTGCAGTTCCAACAACGAGCGAGTGAAATATTATCGCTGTAAGCTATTAGTGAATGAATTTTTTCCCAAACACAGTCTCATCGGAATCCCTAAAAAGAATTTAGATAGTAAATCTATTGGTGTAATTATTAGCAAAAGTGCCAGGTTTCCGAGAATATTTCTAGATGGGCCCACACATTTTATTGGCTGTATATAAAGCAACACGTAAATGTGAATGTGACTCAGAAGTTAATTATGTACACGTGAATCATACGTCCACATTATTCTTTTAGACGTTCAATACATTGATTACCTAAGGCCGTTTTGCTGACATATTGCTAACTATATTTAATTGCGGCCACTTAGTGATAATTGCTGTCACCAAATAAGAATAACCATAACACTAGACATTTAAGATTTACAACATAGGAGTCTCACATTACTCGGTACATTGCCGAATTAAATTTTTACATGGAATTGAAGTCATTGAAAGAAGTTAATTTTAAAAACACTGACCGACACTAAGAATCTGAAGACACCAAAATAAGAGTGGACTTACCGTTCATTTCCGGATTATCTGAGGCCATTATGATCCGGAATTCCAAATATTCCGCCAGATATGGCCGGACGGGCAGTAAGGTTATTGCAATGTACAATGCATTTCCGAAAACTGTCATCAAACTGTAATATCAGCACTATAGCACACATCACTTGTTAGCCTCTTAACCTAACCGTTTTTATGCCAGAACACTCCCTAGAAATCAAGGAAAGAGTAAGAAAGAATAAAAATATGGGAATTTACGAACCCGATACCCAATATCATTCTGACTAGCCTATATAAACCATATGATGTTTTGGCACTTTTTTCTTGGTGCTTTCAAACATCCATTTCTCCCTGGCGCATCCCAATGCTATCTGTTTTATCGACTGGTACAGCCTTGCTGAATGCAACTAGTTGGATTGCGTCAGTTTGTTTTGGGTAAGTTCATGATTTGAACGGTAATGCTTCTGGGATTAACAAATCCTGTTAGGTCCGGCAAACACTCTGGATAATTCAGTCATGGGTGATTTCAGAGGGAATTGAGGTGATTAGCAGACTATGTAAGTAGAAAGTGAGATACAAAGACAAGTATAACACTGAGTGTGTACAAAAAACACAGAAATAAATGAAAAAGACAGGAGGTCAATGTAATTAAAGATTGAACGATCAATTCATGTTTCTTTGCTCAAACCCAACTCCTCCATATTTTTCGCGAGAGTCATCAATCCAGCAGTCATCGTCTCATCGTTCGCTGTTCAGTGGAAGACAGAAAACTATCAGAGGTATTATCGTGATTCATTGTTACATTTATTCTTAGACCTTGTGTGTAATAACATTATTGTTGGTTACACATTGGCGTAAGAATAAAGGATTCTCGAGTCGCCAATCTGTGTTCCTGTTTTTCGCGTTGGTTATTACAAATTGTTTCTGAAAGTCTTCCAGGGACAGCGTGAGGTCCAGCGTAGTAACAGCTGGACATTGACAGTTTCTGAGAGTTGGCTGACACAGGACGTGACCAGTATGGACAGATTAAATAAGAAAATTTTAATTATGTAGCGAAGCGTACGAAGATTTTTCACGCAGGGTATTTGTATTGCCAGCACAGTTGCCGCGAACTTCTTCAATTCCCCTGAGTTTCAGGGAAAACCGCTGTTTTTTGTGTGATTGTCCAGCCTCTTCTTCCAGCTGCAGGCTTTTGGGGTGGTCATCCAACTGGTTAGAGGTGATATCCATAGGTGGTAAAGTCTGGCGAAAAATAAGACGGCTTTCTCTTTGTTACCTTTGACGAGTAGTTTCGTCAGAGTTTCCATAAGGGTTACCATGGTGCCAACTTGGCAGTGTCTCGGGTTGGAAGCATTGAGCTATGCGGTACATTTTCGAGCTGTAATGAGGTTGCCCTGTACTGTGGCATTTGACGGTATGCAGATCTGGCTGGCGTATCAAGTTGTAGCGGTAAATAATTCCCCAAAATTATTGACCACAGCAATCACCACTCAATATTGGATGCTGACCCTCACTGTTTCAGTCGACCTATTTAGCTGAAGCCTTCCGGTCAAGCATCCATGCTATTGAATACCGTGTCGTATCACATTCGTGCACGATCATTAGCCAGCTAAGCGTTCGTCCCACAGTCCGTTTTGGTCCCGAAATATATCTCTTAATTTGGAAAACCAATCCCGTTGTTTTGATTTGCCTTTGGTCCAAGAGAAACAAATACTATGGAAGTTGTTGGTATGAGATCTTGCGTTAGTATACTCCGTACAGCTCCCGAACATCAGTACCGTCAGACTCTAGAAAGTCATCATCCTTTCGTCATTTCCTACCGATATCAGTTTATGAGCTGGACTTATCCGGCATGCTAGCTGAGATTCTGCTTGATAACTTCTTTTGTGAATAAGTTTTAATAGAATTGTGTTACGTGTTTTCTGGGTTGATAGAAATTCCCATTTTCTGACAAGTCGTGCTGGTGTCCGCGTCGTGTGATCTGACTGCGACGCACTCTTAGCATATTGGTTGCAATTATTAGTGTTTCAGGGGGACTGTATAGAAATACCGCTATAATGAGCGCGATGGAATAGGTGAAGGGTAATGACATCTACACAAGTAGCCTACTTTATGCAGAAGCTGCACCTTTCGTCATTATATCATTCAATGAAGATTTCACGCCTCGGGATATCACTGCAGCATATTTTCGTGTAAAGAACAGTAATATTTGACAAAAGAATGCTATCAGTAAATGGAAATCGTCTGTAACTGTTAACAGAACCTTCTGTGGGAACTTAGTTAAGTCATCGTGTATGTTTGTTTTCCATCATGTGTTTGGACAGGAATTATCGTAAGTGGAGAAGTTTTCTTTCAGTTAATTTAATATATATTTGCACTGACTGGTGCAGTGTAATTTGAGTTATGTGGATCCAAATTATTAAAAATATCTCAGCTTTATTAATGTTGCGCGATTGTGTGCTTGGCTGACTGCTAGGCTCGCAAATGTAGGTGGTTCTCATGATTATTGCAAGTGCAATGTTATGGAGAAGGCAAAGCTGGTTGCATTTTCCTCGCTGTTTCACCTGGTGCATTGATTCAGTGTATAGTAATATTATACACATGGATTGTGTTGATTATTAGAACTGAATCTAGCCGGCTCTATTATTACCAATCTGTTGCCTGGTACGCCCGGTACGTTCGAATCAGGTGACGCTTTTGAACGTGTTTTCGCTTATATTCATTTATTGGTTACTAATAATTGATCTTTAATAACGATGGTTCAAAATTCTAAAAAGCGTGTTCGTGTGAACACCACTAATTTAGAAAATAGCACCGGCTCGTCTAATAACACATTACCACCCCATATTATTAGTAGTTCACCCAACATAAAAGCCTCGAACATAACTCTGACCCCTGTAATACAGGTGGAAGATGTTCTGTCTGAAAAAGTAGAGCTCTCTTACTTAACGTGCGTAATTAAAGAGATGCAGCTACAGATAGATGAATTAAAAACGAAATTAAGTTCACTAGAATGTATACCCGAAACTATCTCACGTATGAAAAAGGAACTGCAGGATCCTACAATCCTAAAGCTTTTTAATATGACCTCTAGAATGACTCATACTGACTCAGAAAGTGCGAAGGAGTTAGAAAACGCCATCGACTTTCTATCCAGCGAAGTTGTTAAAAGGCTGGCTTCAAAACAAAACGCAATAGTGTATAATGTACCGGATAGCGAGCCCATAAAGTCAGTCCAGCACTCATTGCTGAAGGCTGCAAATCTCTTGAATGCACCTTGTCAGTGCATTCGCCTAAGCAAAAAAGACCTAAAGCATCCTTGTCCTATACTCTTTAGGTTCGACAGCTACATAACAGCTGAACGATTTAAGATGGCCGAAGATCTTCTGGCTACTGCCACTAAATTCAAGACTATTAAAGTAGTCTCGGATAAAACACCAAACCAAAGGCAAGCAACCAAGAACTCCTTCGATACAAAGTTGACAACACTGAGAAATACATCTGGTATCAGTGCTAAAGTGTCGACGGACACTGAAGCACAGCAAGTCACGTGTATAGTGTTAGGAGAAAAAACGGCAAGTAAGAGCGACCCAAAACTCAGTAAGAGCAGTGCCACTGGGTGCAATCTTAGAGTGCACGAGAGCACATCTCGAAAACCTGCTGACCTACATAAGGTTGACATAGACGCACAAACTATGGCTGACCAGAAACTACTGGCAGACCACACTCAATCTGGATCCAAGCCAGAGAGTCCCTCAGTAGAAACCGCAAAAAAGACCACAAAACCCAGAGTCCCACCCCAGACTTCGACATACCTCCCTCGTAATAAGTCTAATAAGCAGCGTGTCAGTCTAAAAAATGACAAAGCATGGGTAACGAAGCACATTCCCAAAGACGTCACGCAGCATGTGAGAAGGAATACCCCTTCCCGAACTAGAAGTAACATGCCTAACAACGCACATAACTTGGGAATGCAACGTAGAATGGATCCTCAGGATATATGGAGCACTAAACGGGACTCATATAGGCACCATATTAACGAAAATTCTCGTCCAAACTCTCGCACTATCTATGTTAAACCTCATCAACTTAATGAGAACAGGTCGACACTTGATCCCCTCAATAACTTCACTCACACACGTGACGTGAGCCAATATGCATACGGCTATGAAAGCCCCATGAGGTACAACTACCAGGGTAATCTTAACACAGGGTACCTAGGTCCAGCAAACTACAACCCAAATTGCAGGGCAGACCATATATCACCAGTAGATCAACGCAGATGCCGACCCATGGATGCTAATAGTCAAAATATGCAACAGGATTATTTTCGGCTGCAGCAAACAATAGCCCCACTCGCTGCACAGTTCATCCAGGAAATAGTACACACACTGACTCTGTCTCACCTCAGAGCCCCTCCAAACATAACGTAGGGATAGTGACAAGTAACCATGTTAACCTCTCCTCCAATAACTCTGGTTTACTAACAATTATGCTCCTGAATGCTAGATCTCTCCTTAATAAAATAACAACGCTTCGCTGCCTGGCATACATAGAACGGCCAACACTAATAATGGTGACTGAAACCTGGCTTACTACTGATATACCTGACACAAAGCTAGTAATAGACAACTACGACATCTATAGGAACGATAGAGTTGACAAAAGAGGAGGCGGTTGCTTAATATATGCCTATAAATCCACTAACTCCAATACTTTCAATAACCCAAATACTGACAAACTCCCAGAATCTAAGTGGATAAGCATCCACACAAACGAAAGTAAAATTCTCGTGGGATGTATATACAGACCCCCCAATAGCCCTGAAATGACTGATATAACTATTGCAGAAATACTAGAGCATGTAGCCACGCTGGACTTCGACTACAAAGTAGTATGTGGAGATTTCAACTTACCTGGAGTAAACTGGGATACCTGTACAGGACCAAGAATCCATGAAGAGCTACTACAAGCTATAGACATAGGAGGATGGAAGCAGTGCGTGCGCCTCCCTACAAGGAACCAAAATACTCTTGACTTAATCCTCTGTCATAACATAGAGCCCATCTCGATAGAGGTGGGAAATAAACTCGATAACAGTGATCACAACATATTGTACTGCACGCTACCCCTCCGACTAACAACTAAATACACACCTAAAAATTCCCCGGTGCGCTATCAATATAGGGACTATAAGAATGCTGATTGGGAATTCCTATCAGATCTGTTGAGAAGTTCTGACTGGGAAGAATACTTCATCAACAATAACTTAGAAGTATCACTTGAGATTTTCTACAAAACAGTTGGCTCAGCAAGAGACACAATCGCGCCCCTAAAATCTGCCCTAAAGACACCAACTCCATTTATTGACCGGAAAACGCGACTAAAACTAAAGAAATTGAAAAGGAAATACCATGTATTTAAGGAATTTAATGCGTTAAACCAAATACATGAAACTCTTAAACTGCTTGAAGAGAAACACAAAATGAAGTCACAACATGAGGAAAATAAAGCGCTAATGGGTAACACCAAAACTCAGGAACTTTGTAGGATATTGCAAAAACGTCTAAAAAGCAGTAAAGACAATAATGTAAGCATCTTGGAACATAGGGGTGTAATATACAACGATCCCCAGGTTATAAGTGAACTCCTCAGTGAGTGGTTTTGCAATGACACCAGAGTGCACCCGACCCCAAATTTCCAAATGACCTGCAAAAGTAACCACAAATTAGGAGAAATAGATTTTAATATACAAAATATAGACTCAGCGATTAAGACATTGAAGTCAAATGGCAGTACTGGAACAGACGACATACCATCTGTCATATACAAAAATGGTAGCACGGAAATGGTAGTCTTGTTACTTAGAATATTTACTCTGTCACTGGAAACTGGAACTTATCCTGAAGTGTGGAAAACCACATACATATTACCTAAGCACAAAGCAGGGGCCAAAACCAGTGCATGCAACTATAGACCTATTAATATAACACCGGTAATATCACGAATAATGGAGAAAGTGGTTAAAGACCAAGTGTCAGACAACTTACTAGAACATGAACTTATCAACCCATCACAACACGGATTCCTCAAAAAGAGATCATGTGCGACCTGTCACATAGACTTTTTCAATGAAGTTACACGAAGCAGGGACAACAGAGAACTAGTAATTGTGCTATATTTCGATATAACAAAAGCCTTCGATAGAGTCCCCCATAATCTGCTAGTCAGCAGGTTATGCTCACTAGGGATATGTGACCCTCTCCTGAGCTGGATAAAATCATTTCTCTGTGACAGGAATCAGATAACAAAAGTTGGCTCGATAATCTCAAGGCCTAAACCAGTAAGTAGTGGTGTAATCCAGGGAAGTGTATTAGGCCCACTCCTATTCATAATATATATAAACAGTATCTGTGAATGCTTTAGTGTTGGTAAACCAATACTATATGCAGATGACTTAAAAGTGACCTATAAATGCAAGAACACAGATCTCGGAATAACAGTAAACGCCATACAGCAAGAATTAGAAAAAATGGACAGATGGTGTGACACCTGGCAACTCCAGTTTAATGTCGACAAATGTGGCTGGCTCTGCATAGGTTGCAACAATTTAGAACTTGACCTGACAATTCAAGGCCATGCACTCTTACGACTGGAATCTGTATTGGACCTAGGACTGAAATACTCACATGACTTATCATTTTCTGAACATATCTCCAAACAAGTGTCAAAGTCACGCAGACTTATCGGCTTTCTACTCAGGAACTTTTACAGAAATGAGTCCAGAATTCTGTTGTACAAGGTTTGTGTGCGTCCTTTATTTGATTACTGTTCATTCATGTATAGTAGTATACGCATAGAGGACAAATTGAAAGTCGAGGGAGTGCAGAGGTACTTCACGTCAAAATTACTCGGAACCGAAAATGGTGCGAACTACTCCACTAGATGTGACACCCTAGGATTAGAAACACTATGGCTAAGACGCCTGAGACTAAACTTAACACTTTACTATAAGCTTCTAAACCACTTAGTTTTTACCTCTACTAATGGCATTCGACTTTCAGATGACAGTGGCTACAAACTAAGACACACTAAGGGTACAGTAGCTATCGAACAATGTAAAACAGCTACCAGGCAAAAGTTTTACTTGATTAGGTATGCACAGATATGGAATAAACTACCAATGGAAATGCGTCAAGCAGGTACATTTGCCTCATTCAAAAAAGCGATTAACGACAAACTACAAGAGATTGCAAACGATAGTTTTCAATGTAGTTGAAGATTGAACGATCAATTCATGGTTGTTCGCTCAAAACCAACTTCCCCAATTTTCGCGGAGACACCGATACACCAGTCATCGTCTCATCGGTCGCTGTTCAGAAAGAGGTCAGACCAAAACTGTCAGAAGTAATATTGTGATTTATTATTGTAATATTTGTTCATAGACCTTAGTTAAATCTTAATTTTAAAGCTGCCTATATGTTGGTGTTACAATAAAGAATTCTCGAGTAGCCAATCGGTGTTTTGGTTTTGCGTCCGTTATTACTAAGCGTTTCTGAGAAACTTCAAGGAACAGTGTGAGTCCCAGTGTAGCAAGAGATGGGCATTGACGGTTTACGAGACATGGCTGACAATATTAGTCCTAGTTCCTATCTGAGAGTCTCCGAAATTATAGGTCCATTTAATAAAAAAATAAAAAATTAAAATGTGTAAGCTTATATACTACACCTGTTGTTTTTCCTTTATTTGTAATTTTATGTAAAACATTAACGATTAATGTACTTACGCTCAAACAGGCAAGAAGTTTCGTTTGTAAAACTTCTACCCAACACAATAACTGGAATAAAGTGGACATAAACCAACAACATGAAGATGATATATTTCACCACAACATCATATGGACATATATACGCTCATCGGGCATCATATATACCTCACCAACTACAAACCAACTTTCCTAAGATAATGTGATGAACTTATATCCGTAATGTTGCTGAGCAGTCAATATCCACAACTCCTGTCGGAACAACTAAAATTCAAAAACCCTCCTCATGAGTAAATACCCACAAGCAGTAGAAATCCATTAATCGATGCGTCTAAAGCTTATGTATTTTACTCCCAACAATGACATTGCAGATCAAATGAGATAAACATATCACTGATTTCAAAATAACACATCAATGAACTATAATTCAAGGACTCTGCACAACAAAGTATTGTACGAAAATTGACCTCAAGCTTTATTTTTTTCCCAGGCACTTATGACCCATCCACCAAAGATCTGGTTTTTTTGTCAATGCGAAGACAATACTTCTGTATTTCCTGATGTGTTGCACTCACTGACAATCTAGCGGATTTTTCCAACTGTGCACAGAAATGATTGTACATAAGTGAAAAGGCTGTTTTAAACTACTGGGATTAACATTTATCAAGTGTATGTATAATCTCCAGCGTACATGTAAAAAAGTTTTAGCTATCGACTGTAAATTGTGACTGAATAATATGGTCCTATTTCTGTAACAATTTGATGATGCCTGTAAACTGGCGTCCCTCATGTACTGTATCATGGGAATAAATTTATTTATTTATTTATGCCATTTTCACTTACACTGTGCCTAATGCTGCAATATTTTTGATCACCAGTAGTGGAAATGAATTGCCCATGAAATTTCCACTTATATGAGACAGTACATATACGGTGTCACGACTGAATGTCTAGGTTGCATTATATAATATCGTTATCCTCATCATCACATTAGGTCTGTGTATCTCAAAATATTTTATATTTCTCCATGTTGTTAACACTGCATAGTTGTTTAGACTCAAAAACTGTACTCAGTCAGCCAGTCCCTGTCTTAAAAGGGACCCACATATTCTGGAAAGTGCCAAAAGGAAGGCGACACGCATAATTTTTGGTCTGACTAATTTACCATGCGAAGAAAGACTGAACTCTTTCCCCTGTCATACCTTAGGCAGAGAGATCTAAATACAACATTTAGTCTTAAATAATAACTGTGGAACTGGCCTGTCCTATTTTTTCTTCTCACCAGATCAAAACACCATATAGGACATAGCAGGAGAGTTCAAAAGCCAAGGAGAAACTATATCTTTGTGGAGTATTTGTCCTCACACCGAGTTATTAACTACTGGAACGAATTCCAAGAAGGAGTGGTGTCTGCGTCCTCAGTAGATTCATTCGAAAGGTTTTGGACAAATTCAGAAATTTGTTGGAAAAGGATTAACACAGGTCTCAAGCCTTCTATTCCCAATCAACAAATCTGAATCTGAAATCACCGAATTTTTTAGAATATGTATCTGCAGTCACACTTCATTCACCTCAAATTTTCAAAGACGTTATGGGTATTTAAAATTTGAGGACGCATGCAAATACTTTAAAGATTATAATAACGGAAAGTATAAGCACAATACTTTTGTTTTTTTCGTTTGGAGAACTGTTTCAATGTGAAGGTCAACAAAACGTGGTAAAATAACTGAAGTATGCCGGTATGCTGCTTTTATCTTTTTTAAATCAGTTAGAGACAACGTTCATACACTTCGGCAGACGGAAAATCAAGAACCTTAAACAGCAGCTTTTTCAATAAGCAGTACAAGTCATTAAAGACATATATCAGAAGTAAAGTCGCACATAATTTCATAAAATTTGTGAACATTAAGGTACAGGTTCACATCCTGTTTTGAATACAGAATCAGGTTCAACAACGATTCCTGTTGTCTCTGGATCGCCGGGTGCACAAACTCTTAAGAAGGGCGTTTATCTTCAGGATGACAACGGGAAAATAATCAGTCTGACGAAGTCAAGGAAACACAATCATACAGTGTGTTTGTGGTTGTTAATAACGAACCTTTTAGGATGGTAGCAAGGTGATTTTGGACTCAAAAAGTCGTCTGATACTGGATTTGTCCTCTTTGGGCCTTGTTAATTTGTCTTCTGACATTGGTATTCTTAGCGATTTAATAGAACTTTTTCTTTACGACAACAAATTGACATGCCTTCCTCCTGAGATCGGGCTTTTACAAAACCTTCAACGAGTATGATATCAGTTTTTGTAAATCGTTTATTAGTAGCTGTGGCTCCAAGAAAATTCTCTTATGGTTCTACCTGATGAACTTTCATGTTGTTCTAAACTAACTCATCTCGATGTTAGACATAACAGATTAGAGGGCTGCATTCCCTCGGTACTGACAAGATTAACGTCTATGAAACAGCTTTATCTTACTTACAACAAGCTAACAGATATTTCGTCCGTTGGCAATTTATGTGTAGGTATATACCATTTCATTGTTTTTGTTGATAATTATTCTTTGAATGTATAGAAATAATTCAGACCATTTCCTTAAATAATGCCAGACGTAAAATCATATTGATGAGTTAATAAGGTTTGTAACTCTTAATTCCCGCTAGGTCAATTCAAATTCACTCTGAATTTTATTCATTTCCATTTCTAACTGATCGATATAATTTTTTAAATAATATACACTGCTATTTCAGTGTTGAAGATTAGTTTCTATCCAGTACTTAAGTGGCTTCATAGTTGATACATAAAAATGATCTAGATTTTATGGTCCATAAATGCGTAAATCATCTTGAAATTTCTCAATGCAGTAGGTTGTCGTGTATTTATTAAAAACGCTTTCATGCTCATAGCTTTGTCAGTCATGTATCACAGGTTTCCTTGTCAAAGCACCTAGGTTACAATTTAGTAGAAACCGATGCGTTGGTGGCAAAAGTTTTGTTTTACAAAATGATAAGAGGTAGATTAAAATAAATACGACGTCTGTAGTTTAAGACTGATTTCCTCTCAACAAACCATTCAAAAGAGTGGATATTAGTTAAAGGCCATTCCGTATTTTTGGCTTATGGTAATGTTTGCAAACACTTATAAAGCACTTACACTTCAAACTGCGCTGTTAGTGACTGACAAATTCAATTGAAGACTTCTACGATTGAAGGCTGGGAATGAAATGCTTTCATTGACGACCTTTGTACAAATATTTATTTATAAGTGTCCCAAAAATCATTCGTGTTATCGTACTTTATTGGCTATAAAGACATGCTGGATGTTAATTCGGAAATATATCAAATTTCCGAAATTTTGAAAGATAAGCTGGATTTTCTGTCTGAGGGTAAACAGCACTTGACTGGAGGCTGATTTTATTCCGCCCACATTAAGTACCAGAAACAACATATCCGCAGCTATACTTCGAACTAATGTTCTTTTTTTCCAGTTTCGTAAATATATTGACTAGCAGTCACATTTGTCAAATTACAGGGCTTTTAAATTTTACATTTTAGTTAGTACTCACTAAAGGTTACTTCTGAGGCTTAACTCATACATAAAAATATCCGTATTTTCCATTTTCCCACTTACATAACTATTCAGTCTTTTACATTCCATTTGTTTGTCTTCTCTCAGTGTTTATTATTACTTGAATGTTCACTACTTTTTGGTGGAAACTGGACTTGGTTGTGTCATATGATTTCTTGATGCCTGTCTAACTTTCTGTGTACATTTTTATAAGTATGCTGAAAATGATATTCATTTAGGGTGGGACAAAAATGCTGTACGCATTAGTCATTATTGGTCATGTCCTTTATTATCACTTGAGGAAAGTAAAGCTTAGTCTCCTCGAAAATGGTTTTCTCTCAAGTTGATGCTTAAGCAAACAGTTAATTAGTAAACAACAGAGTAGGTTAAATCATTTGCTTCCTGGAAATAGATTCAGATGCGATTATCTACAGTGATATTCGAAGTACTCATATCTCTGTGAGTCCTCAAATCATGTATGTGAATGTAATGTTTCGGTGTATTACGCTTTCTGATTTTAATGCAGCTTCACAATTACAATTCGGCTAACTTTTAGACTTGGACAAAGTCGAGTATCGTAAAATTAACGCTTCCTGCATAATTCAGTGATGTGGCTTCAGGTATAATTCATTTTCATTGTTCAGAAAGCAGATTAGCGGGAGTTCAATTTATCTCTGGATAAATTTCTGTAACAGATTATTCACTAAAAGGCTTTGATTAGGATCAACCGTACGTGGTTTATTAGGACTTTTAAGGTTATGATCTGCCGAAATGAATAAGGGTAGTGGCGTATTTTGTTCCTCTGCTTATTTAACATCTGCCCTAGAACTGTTTTTGTTTCAGTCTTACACAATTTACTGAAAATTCCCCTTTTCTCATATTTCATTTTATTTAGTTTAAAAGGCACAATATAGTTATTTTAAAGGGTTAAAGAATGAACATGAGCAGTAGGAAACGTATTAAAGGACAAATGTCAGACTATTGTGTGACATACATTAGAACTAGCTAAAGAAATTCCGTTTAATTCATAAAAACCAATTATTCATCAAAAGTGTGTTGTCTTTACATACCTGAAAACATTAAATTAGTAAAATTCTGCATGTGTTCATTCAGTAGCTTCAACCTTTTTCCATTCGACATTGAGTTATGGGACTAACATGTAGGTGCTCGTCAGTTATTTTCTGTCTGGTTTAAATTTTCATCATCAATAGATGTTATCTGCATTTGTATTTATTGGAATAACTTACGTGTTATGCCAATTCATTCAGTGAATATTTTTCTTTATTTTTTCGTTGAAAATTTAGTATTTACAAACGTTAGTAGTGAAAAGCAATCAACTACAAGGACCGATACCAGATTGTATTGGAAATTTAACACAGTTGAGAACTTTGGATTTGTCAAAGAATCGTTTGACCAAAATTACTGAAAGTAATTATTTCGCCTTATTTTTGTGTTAACTATGTTATTTTTAAACCATATTTTACTAACAACAGATTTTGTCTTATTAGATTTTTATAACTTGAATAAAGGTGTATATATATTGAGGGATACTCACAATATAAGTGGAAAATTCAACCGAGATAAATTTCACTACCTTGGAGTAGTTTATTTTTATGACGGTTGAGACGCACAACATAGTTAGTAGTTATATTTATGCTGAAGTTGCACCTTTTAGCTATGTGTTTCAGAATACAGAATACAACTTCTTTATTACTGATTTGTGTGCACTACTTGATCAGCTGAGGCCTTATGAAGGATCATTTTCGTGTGTTGTACTTAGTCTGAACAAATATGGCAAACTGATTATCACTGCCATCTATTTTTAGAAGTGAAATACATAAAAGTAATGGATACGTTCTAAGAGAACTCCATTATGTATAATCCAATCATTTCTAAATGAGCTGAGATCAAATTGCTGATTATGCCATAACTTCAAATAAAAACATTTAAAGTGAAATATGCTTAGTAAAGCTGTGTTGTTTAATCGACTAGTCAAATAGGAAAAAAAACTTCTTTACATTTTGACTGGTATGAGGAGTTGACATTGTAACAGAATATTCTATTTGTGTCATTCATTAAGGATTATGTTTCAATAAGTTCTTATAAGTTGCCTTAACAGAATGTATGTTGATATGGATTTTTTAAGAAATTTGAAATAAATATATTAGTCTAAATAAGGGTGATACACTATCAGGAAATGTGATTACTTAGAAACCATCTACACTAATCCACATATTTTAACGTGAACACTACATGATATTTGTCCTGTTGTGAAGTCTGCATATCGTTGTGAATAACTCTCGCTTTTCATAGTGCTTCGCTGTCTGTGGTGATAAGTCGTAACCTTGGCTGGATATTTTCTTACTGTGATTGAACTACTGAAGCGTTCAGTTAAGAAATATATCTATTTGAGTGGTAAACTCCGGTAAATTTCTCTGTTAGCTGGCGATCTCGTTTTAAAACCAGTGAAAAATAAGGATATATTGTCACTAACAGTCAATATCTAGGATCTCTTCTGGATGGCTACTGATTTACTTTCCGTAAAATAATACTGTGACTTTATGTCTTTTACCTTCCCAGTTTTTGTAATTTCTTTGGCCTATTTCATGTGAATGAGAATTTATTGTTATGTATGTTGAAACTTTAGCAGATATTTTCCAACTACATGTGGAAATTATGATTTAGTCAGCAATTTTTTAGTTAGACATAGTTTCTAAATTTATGCGTCAACGGTACAGCGATAGAATGCTCGCCGACCATACATGTGGTCCGGGGTTCGATACTCGGCCACCTACGCACTCCTTTACCTCCCTAATCAACTAGTAAAGATGGAAGGTTGGTCATGAGGCTGGCAACCCCATTCCGTAAAAATAAACACCAGTGCTATCGAAACTTCACGCCTCTAGCTTGAAGCCCTATGTTCCACTGGGAACGTAGAGGAACAAAAGAATTTTTAAATTTAATAAGTTTAATTTCGTGTACTGGCAATGGATAACATTTCGATAAAATATATAAAAAGTGTGTTTCACAACTCCATTCTATTTACTATTTGGGTGGTACCACTAACTTCCAGGCAGCAAGCTTTGCTCATAGTGTGGTATATGGATAAACTATTTCGGGTAACTGTAGTAACCACATCAAATATCAGCATTATTAGTATGTTTAAGTTTAGCTGAAAATTAGTACTAGTTACATTTGTTGGTTCAGTTACCAGAATAATATTTTAAGAATGAGTGGAAGACTTCTGCAGTAATAAGCTGGATTTGGGGAAAAATATTATACCCAGATCAGATTGCAGTAGTAGGTATCATCATCGAACAAAACCTACAGCGCCAGTCAACTCTCTACCTAGACTTCATTGACTTTTAGAAGAGTTTAAACAGCGTCTACTACGAAGTAATTTGGTAACCATCTCAACATTTCATTCACCAGCTATATGATGATGCGGCATGCCAGATGATTCATAATGGAAAGCTCAGTGGAACGTGTGAAGTGAAGACAGAAGGAAGACAGGGCTGTCCACTATCACCGATGTTCTTTCTGACTGTGATAGACTGGATTATGCAAGAAGACAGTCATACTTCGGGCTTACAAAAAGATCCTACAAGATCTGCATTCAGGGCATAATCTATGTCTCATGTCGAACAAATTCGAAGATATACAAGAGATCACCAGCAAATTAGTAAAAAAAAGCAGATAAGATAGGACTTCAGCTGAACAGAGATAAAACAGCTGAAAGTGATGGTGAAGGAGATATGGTGCTGAGGTGGTTATGTCCCATTCAGACTACATGGAATGCATAGTAGTAACAATTTACGAAATCAGAGATTTAGCCTGATAACTTTTCCAAGATATGTTTAACCAGTAGTTGTAGGAGAAATTACACTGTTAGTCATATCAATAACTCATAAATGTCGGCTATTTACTCTAATATTAGACTGTTTCAAAAAATGAACCCGTGTATCTTCGACAGAAATGCTAAACTATGGTGCTCACTATGTTTAAGGAACACTATTTATAATTCATCTGTTTTAAAAAACAATATAGAATGTTCTAATAGCAGTTTAAAATACCAAACTCACTAAAGTAGAGTTTAACCTCTTGTTTAAGAGTGATTATGTCCAACACAGTCTCTGTTATTAAACTTACTTATCAGGTATTGGTTTGGTAAGGATTTTGTTTGATTGGATGGAAGATTTCATCATGAGCTGAAATCAGTTGGAGAGCCACTGGATAACCTGCAGGGAGCACTGCCAGATAGCTGTTTCCTCCGACTTAGTTTGGGACTCTTCATCAATACGCATCCACATGGTTCGAACCCGGGAACTTCTGGTTACAAGGCGAGCTAGCTCGTAGACCATTAAGCCACTGGGACGCGATCGAATGAACAGTGTATGAATTCTAACTTTAGCCAATTCATGACATAGAGTGACCACTTTGCAATGTCTTCTTCGGTGAGTTACTGCCTCATCTTCAACTTGCTGCACTCTACTGGTCACAGTTTCCCACCGGAACCTCATGTCATTTCCTGAATAGAGCCAGAAGCTGTGACCAGTAGAGTGCAGCAAGTTGAAGATGAGGCAGTAACTCACCGAAGAAGACATTGCAAAGTGGTCACTCTATGTCATGAATTGGCTAAAGTTAGAATTCATACGCTGGTCATTAGATCGCATCCCAGTGGCTTAATGGTCTACGAGCTAGCTCGCCTTGTGACCAGATAGTCCTAGGTTTGAACCATGTGGTGGGTGTGTGCTGCCGAAGAGTCCCAAACCAGGTCGGGGGAAACAGCTGTCTGGCAGTGCTCCCTGCAGATTATCCAATGGTTCTCTAACTGACGTCAGTTCATAATGAAATCCTCCAACCAATTAACATTACTTAGACGAATAAACAGATGTACACCTATGTGCATAAATGTCAAATGCAGTTAATTTCTTTCAACTATCCAGCTGTAATCAGTTTTATATTCATCCTATAGTATTTAAAACTATTTCCTCTTATTGTGAATGGTTTTAAGGAAAAATATTTGTTAAACGAAGAAAAGATTTCCAGCAATCGTGCATTGATCCACAGTAGTAGTGGTTTTCGATAGTATCTTTTAATTATGTATAATTATTATTTCCTTTTCCCTTTTCTGTAAGAAATTCACCTTTAAACGCTTTCTAAATGAAATCATAAACTGTTAAGCATAATGATAACGAGCTAGTAACTAATTGGATGGGGACAATAGGTGACATGGCTCAAAATCGTTGTCAATGGCGCAGATGTATTCAGTCCCTGTAATCTTTCATATTCCTTTCTACCATTACCCATTCTGTTTCACTCTTATACTTGTCAAACTCTATTGATTCTCTTCACTCATCTTCTTGTCTACCTCTGTGTGCTATTTGGAACGTGGCAACTCGAACTGCTGCACTTCGGTGCCAACTTCTATGTTGAATCCAGACAGACAGTAACTAATTGGTAAGAGAAAAATGTGTTGATCACCTCTTACTCGATACTATAACTCTGTACTCATTTAATTTTTCAACAAGAAATTAAAGTCTACTTACCATAAAATGATGATGGTGTAAACATTATAATGTAATCTATTGATCAAAGTGCTTAATGCAAAAACTGGCGCGGAATTATGCTTCTGTCCATCCCAAGCAGAATACCAAGCTGCATCATCCTGGAGAGAATCAAACACGCAACCCTGTATGAAAAACTTTGAGAGGAACAGGCTGGATTCAGGAGAAAAAAGTCAAGTATTGATCAAATTGCCACACTACGGATCATCACTAAACAGAGCTTGGAATGACAGTCACCTCTGCATCTCAACTTCATCGACTTTGAAAAGGCCTTCGACAGCGTAGCGTCGATCGAGAGGTGATTTGAGAACTACTTCGCTTCTATGGGGTGCCGCTGACAATTATACATCTCATCCAACAGTTGTACGACATTGCTGCATGCCAAGTAATCCATAACGGGAAACTTACAGAATCCTTTGAAGTGAAGATGGGAGTAAGACAAGGCTGCCTACTATCGCCAATGATTTTCTTGATTCCAGTAGATTGGATAATGCGACAGACAACGAGCAATGAGGAAACAGGCATAAAATGGACTGACACAAAAAACTTGGAGGATCTGGACTTCGCCGATGATATGTCTGATTTCCCACAAACTGGAAGATATGCAAGTGAAAAGCAACAAGTTGGCAGAAGAAGCATCAAAGATACGACTCCAAGTGAACATAGATAAGACAGAGGTGATGAAGATTCCTGGCCAACACCAACAGCAACAACAACAACAGACAACAATCAGCATAAATGGGCGGAACCTGAAAGAAACAACCTCCTTTACCTACATGGGATGAGAAGCATCATTTCAACTACGGGCAGATGGAACGGATAAGGATATCAAAGCGAGGATCGGGGAAGCAAGACAAGCTG